CTTTCTGCAGCCGTTACACACACACACCTTTCACAGATGTAAATTAGCTTTAGCGCTAACTATTAAGCTAACTCTTTATTGTTTTTGCACCAACACGAAGTCGTTGTTTTGTCAATATACTTAGCAGACAGCCGACTCTTGTTCTGATAGAAATCAAACTATCAGCTGTTCATCTGATCCGTCGACCGCTAACAGGAAGCTGTTCTTTGTTTTTCCTCAGTGGCTGAACCTGTCTATGCTCTGATCCGGATCCCGGTCCTGCAGAGTCTGCTCAGCTCAGATCTCGCTGGTTTGAAGACGGGAGTTTGGTGTGTGCCTTTTAATGATCAGGGAGTCACAGACTGAATGTTTAACAGATGTTTGTTTGTTTGATATTCAACATCACCTGTAAGAATCATATTTTAATCCTTAAAGACTTATAATAAAGACATGAATCAATCAATGTGGGAAATCTTTTATTTTATTTAAACAAACATATTTATAAAATATGTTTTACATCATACACCTGCTCTCTCCTCCAATGACAGAGAACTGTGGGCGGGGCTTTAAGAAAGTCCAGCTACAGGAAAGAACATGTTCTTCTCAGTCTGTGGGAGGTTTTAAAATCTGCAGAACATCCTGAAAGTTCTGGATGTATACATGTTCCCGCCCTCCACATGCACACACAAACACTCACGTTTCTCAAACCACTCAGACATGAACACCCTGACGTTGTTCATACACGACCTCAGACTCGTTCTCAGATGATGTATTACAAAAAGCTTTTGTTAAAGCTTTTCTGATTGGCTGCCAGCAGCAAAGTGGAGGCCCGCCCATCTGTTAGGCCACGCCTTCCCAAACCAGTGTCTCATTGGTTCACACTCAAGTGATGCCACTTGTCCCGCCCCCACACCTCATGGCTCAGGTAGCTCATTCTTTCAGCAAGCGGCAGCTGTGATGTCACAGTTTTGTCATTTTCTTCTTCACGACATCATCACTGTGTTTTCTGGCGAGCGTATTCCTCCGCCCACTTCAGAGCCTCAGTGATGTCATCGCTGCTTCCTGTTCCCTTGGCAACCAGTGCAGAGCCCCCGGCGCTGCCCCCGAGGTGATTACACACCGCCACCGCCCAATCAGAAGCCGGCAGGGAGGAAGAGTTCTGAGGAAGGAATAGAACGCCAATCAGACCATTTCACCAAGGCTCCGCCCCCTGTGATGTCACCGACAGGTGTTTGATTGTTACCTTTGGAACCTGACAAGCGCACAGAATCTTTCCTGAATGTCTCTGGTGAGCGAGCAGCATCACACGACTATGAGGACCCTCGGCGCTCAGCTGGTTCACCGTCTTCATCAACACCTGACATGAAACGTTGAGAACAGTTGAGTGAGGTCTGTGATGATGTCATCAAACGTCTGAAGAATTATCTGCACAGTAGAGGTATTCATTTGAAATGCATGGCTGTTTACAAAGCAGGGTGGCTCTGTGCAGGTGCATTATGGGAAATGTAGGCTTCACCTCTGTTACCTGCCGGGGGAAGGGGGGTTCTGTTCTTACCGATAGAGAGTCCGTCTCCACAGAGTCCACCAGCAGCTCCTTCCTGCCATTCTTCTCCAGTAAAGCCTGAGCTTTACCTGCAGCCTGAGCAAAGCATGATGGGTAAACATTCAGATTGGTTAGTACAAAACATGGACACACACACACACACACACACACACACACACACACACACACACACACACACACACACACACACACACACACACACACACACACACACACACACACACACACACACACACACACACACACACACACACACACACACACACACACACACACACACACACACACACACACACACACACACACACACACACACACACACACACACACACACACATTACATTGGTGCTCATTAATACTTCTTTCTTGAGTAATGAAGGTTAATCTCAGGTGTGTGTGCTACCTCTCTGGTCTCCAGTTTCCTGATAATCGTGTTACTTGTCCTCTGCAGCGCTTTGAGTCGACTCTGCAGCTCTCTGCGCTGCCACTGAGGGATGGGGGTGTTATCTACAGCCTGTCAGACGAAGATCAGGGTTAAAGGTGTTATCTACAGCCTGTCAGACGAAGATCAGGTTTAAAGATGTTATCTACAGCCTGTCAGACAAAGATCAGGGTTAAAGGTGTTATCTACAGCCTGTCAGACAAAGATCAGGGTTAAAGGTGTTATCTACAGCCTGTCAGACGAAGATCAGGGTTAAAGGTGTTATCTACAGCCTGTCAGACGAAGATCAGGTTTAAAGATGTTATCTACAGCCTGTCAGACGAAGATCAGGGTTAAAGGTGTTATCTACAGCCTGTCAGACAAAGATCAGGGTTAAAGGTGTTATCTACAGCCTGTCAGACGAAGATCAGGGTTAAAGGTGTTATCTACAGCCTGTCAGACAAAGATCAGGGTTAAAGGTGTTATCTACAGCCTGTCAGACAAAGATCAGGGTCTAACAGTCACAGGCACATTAAATGGTTATCACATCAGTTCCTGCAGTGCACCATGGGTACTGTACGTACATCAGAGAGGACGCCAACCTCCTTGGCAAGACGGTGGGCGGAGTCAATACAAGAGGGGACAGAGTTCGATAGCCTGGCTGACAGAGAGTCCACATCCTGATACAAAACCTGCCCTGCCTCCCGGGCCTGTCAGAACCAATCAGAGACAACATGAACATGACATCATTGACTAATTGTTTTCAAGCTAACAGGTCCCATCCACTTCCAGTCTTTGTGCTAAGCTAGGCTAACAGGTGATGATAAACTGACCCTCGCTGCTTCCCGTCCCGTCACTGCGATGATCCGGCTGATTCCTTTGACCATCTGTCTCTCGGAGACGATCAGCAGGTCCTCGATGTCCCCGGTCTGCAGCAGGTGTCTACACACACACACACACACACACACACACACACACACACATGGTTTCACTGCCTCACACACAGTCGACAGGTGAAGCAGTGAACAGGTAAACTCACGTCCCACAGCAGAGCTCCACAGACGTCTGCCTGTCTGTCTGATCATCCAACAGCTCAGAGACAGGTAACCCCACAGACACCACCCGCACAGGGTCAGGATACACCTACAGACAGACAGGTAGAGAGAAACAGTCAGTACACCTACAGACAGACAGGTAGAGAGAAACAGTCAGACAGGTAGAGAGAGAAACAGTCAGTACACCTGCACACAGACAGGGAGAGAGAGAAACAGTCAGAACACCTGCACACAGACAGGGAGAGAGAGAAACAGTCAGAACACCTGCACACAGACAGGTAGAGAGAGAAACAGTCAGAACACCTGCACACAGACAGGGAGAGAGAGAAACAGTCAGTACACCTGCACACAGACAGGGAGAGAGAGAAACAGTCAGTACACCTGCACACAGACAGGGAGAGAGAGAAACAGTCAGTACACCTGCACACAGACAGGGAGAGAGAGAAACAGTCAGTACACCTGCACACAGACAGGGAGAGAGAGAAACAGTCAGTACACCTGCACACAGACAGGGAGAGAGAGAAACAGTCAGAACACCTGCACACAGACAGGGAGAGAGAGAAACAGTCAGAACACCTGCACACAGACAGGGAGAGAGAGAAACAGTCAGAACACCTGCACACAGACAGGGAGAGAGAGAAACAGTCAGTACACCTGCACACAGACAGGGAGAGAGAGAAACAGTCAGAACACCTGCACACAGACAGGGAGAGAGAGAAACAGTCAGTACACCTGCACACAGACAGGGAGAGAGAGAAACAGTCAGACAGGTGAGAGACAGACAGGTGTGTTCTCACCTCGTCCACTGTCCTCAGTCCGTTGATCCTCCTGGCGGTCTGTAGAGGAAGCTCCCGGATGTGGACGACCTGATTGGCTGAGATGATGTCATTGACACACCTCTCTACCTGCTGCAGCTGCTCGACGCTCAGTGAACCCTGAGGACCAATCACAGACAGCAGTCTCGGTCATGTGACCCTGAGGTGAATATTCAGAGCAGCCCGTCCTTTTAGTGACCTCATTTCCTGTAAGTCTTGTTAGACGTAATCAAACCATTCACACCTTGACGCTGAAGTCGAAGCGGAGGCGGTCAGCTGACACGTGAGACCCTCTCTGCTGGACGGACGGACCGACCACGTCTCTGAGAGCGAAGTTCAGGATGTGTGTCGCCGTATGTTTGACCATACAGGAGACTCTTTGCACCTGAGAGACACGGGACACACTGCGGTATTGACACCCCGCCCCTTCCTCTAATTAAAGCACACATTAAAGTGACCTGTGTAAATTCTGTAAACATGGAGGAGGAAGGATTTATGGCCAATACTGCAACCAGCTTTAAATATTCTGGCTTCACGCCGACTGCTGCCCCGTCCATCTTAATATACAGTTCATGTTTCAAAGCGGCCTCCATTCTGATCAGCTAAATCTATCAAGTGTCCTCTATCGCCACCCTCAGGACAAACTGTGCATGCTCTAAGAGGAGATTTACCGAATAGGGGTTCCTCAGGACTCTGTACTTGGACCACAGTTTTTTGGTTTTTATTTGAATGTTCCATGTTTAGCACTTAAATATACTTATGAAATGTATTATAATATCTGTCTTTATGCAGATGACACTGTGTTATAACATTAAATAGATTTTATAAAACTGGTAGAAAACCTCTTTACCTGGTCCAGGTGAAGCTGCACCTGGTCTCCGGTCTTCAGGCTGTCAGCTGCGGTCACCTGATGGACCACATAGCCCCCCGCCTGGACCACCGCCTCCACAGGGTACAGAACGTCCTGAGAGACAGGAAACACAACTGGAGTTAGACCTCACCTGGACACACGACGGGTTAACTTCCTGTGATGCATGTCAGCTGACCTGCAGGCTGTCCCGTGTGAAGTAGCCCTGGTCATGTGACTGCCCCCCCTGCTCGGAGTAGAAGCAGGTTTGGTCAAGAACGACTCCGCAGCGCTGACCTTCAGCGACCTCCGACACCAGAGTCTGTCCGTCGTACAGAGCCAGGACAGTTGCACGGCATGCTGGGAAAACTGAGAAAGAAACCACAAGGATTACCTGTCTGACAGGTGAGACATGTTTAAAAGAGAGGTGGGTTCAGCTGCAGGTCCTCTTACATCCACCAGGTGGTGCTGCGATAGACTTGGACTGAACTGTCAGAAGAACAACAAAAACTCAATGCATGCTGTTTGCATCGCACACATCAGGGAGCGCCCTCTAGAGGTATCCTCCAGTAACACACATCACACATAGTCAAGTATTAAAGGAGATCCGTCTAATACTGAGCCACTGAGGTCCTGGTCCTGGTGTGACCTGGCTGACGAGTCTTTGTCTCATCTCCCAAGGTAACAAAGTGAAAAATGTCTTCAACAGTGACAAAGAATAAACACCCGACTCCAGATGCAACACACC